TTCAAAATATTTTGAATATTATTTCAAAATAGCAACCACATAGCATTTTCCCATATAGACTATTCCATCAGTCAGTTCAGTCGCTCAGTCGTGTCCGACTCTTTGCAACCCCATGAACCACAGCATGCCAGGCCTCCCTGTCCATCACCAACTCCCGGAGTTCACCCAAACCCATGTCCATTGAGTCAGTGATGCCATTCTACATCTCATCCTCTGTCGTCCCCTTCTCCTCTTGCCCTCAATCTTTCCCAGCATCAAGGTCTTTTCAAATGAGTCAGCTCTTCGCAACACTCATCAATAACTGTGTAGGGAGAAAATAATTTCAAATCAAATACAGTAGAGAAAAAAACTTTTTAATGCACTTTTTTCCCCCCAGGCAAAAGAGCTTCAGAAAACATCCATCATTAAGTAGTTCTACAAATGGCACTTTTGGTTACATTAGAGAATTAGATACCAGCCCCACGTGTTTTCTCTGATAAATTAGCTGTAGATCAGATTTACAATTCAACTCTTTCTTAGGATAAAAAAATGGTTAATTTGTTCTAAAGAAAAGAAAAGCTGAAATCCTAAAGGCATTGTTTTAAAAATTTAACATTTATTTCATGCTATACTGTCTATTGTTATATTATAATTTTAATTATTTTGCTATAATTTTTAAGAAACAGAAAATAAATTTCAACCTAATTTAAAAATAAACATATATATTAAGTACATATATTAATGCATTTGACAATACCATATAGTGACTTTGATTATGAACTTCCTTTTGGTACATGGTAGATTTGTCCTCTTGGTATTGAGCTGAGGAAAAACATATTATACCTGAAATTCTTCTTTGAATGAGTAAAACCATGGTCAATGACACCAACAGACTCCAACCAATTTGCAAAACTGAAATGATCTTGGGCTATTCTGATCATGAACATCAAAATGAAACACTATTAATATTCAACAGGAGAGAATACTTAACATTATCCAAACAGATCTTGAAAGCAGATTATTTTCATGACATATCTGAAAGGAATGAGTATTTGGAAAAGTGAGACTCTATTTTGGACTGAAAGCAGTGATTTTTAAACTGTTAATTGTTACCACTCCAATGCATTCACCTTTCATAAGGTAGTGTGAAGTTGATCGTACCTAATCTACTCAAACATGGATCTCTTCTTCATGTTACCCACCATTTCTCAACCAGAAATTTATCAGTTCATATCATTATCTGACAGAGATGAATAAGAGAACATCAGATAGCAGAACCAACCCAAAGGGCGGCTGCATTTTCTCTCTACAGCAGAATCAACCAACATGGCTTTCAAATCACAGCTGACTGCACACCCTATGCTAATGACTTGACGTAAAGCGATTTCTGTCTCCATCGATTTCTGTCTCCATCACTAACACACAGACATGGCACACAGCCAGCTGGAAAACCAAGCGTGTCTTTTCTGGGAACAAACTAAGTCATTTCAGAGATTCTCCATGAGCGATCTCAATTCTCACACACAATTCCCCAAAACGCAGACACACACATACGTAGGACACAAAAGTTCTTTGAAATCCTGCTTCCTGCTAATTCAGAATAATTCTTGGTGTTCCGTTTAGGAATGGAGTTTCTAAATTTTAAAGCAGTTCAACTGTCAAAATACCATACAAAATATTTACTTTTTAATATGCTATGATTTAACAACTCAAGGCCTCACCTCCAGGGGTACAGGGCACAACCGCGTGTCATCCCCACCCCAGCCTCCACGGCGGGGGCCACAATCGGAGGACTCTGCACTGCGGGGAGGGGCGTGCTGGACCCAGGCCGGCCCAACAAGACGGCTCCACGCCTCAGCGAACAGCAAAGGGCGAACCCGCACTTTAGGTCTTAGGATTTCCAGACTCCTCAGTGTTCACTGGGCGTGGGCCTTTGTTCACAACTGTTGCACTTCTACCCGGAGGGTGGTCAGTGATTGACATCTGATTGCTGAAGTCTTTCAACAACTAGGTAACTCCTTAGGCCTTTATTCAAAAAGTAGTTATCGACTCTGGGTGGATTAAAAACAGCCAGGCTCTTGGCAGCTCCTCCCATCACAAGGGGGAGTCTGCTTTCTGACCTCTTGGTTCTGGGCTAGCTCTGTGACTTGCACTGGCCAAGAAGAGGCTACGGAAGGGACACTGTGTGACCTCCGAGCATGTCCACAGAAGGGTCTGCAGTTTCTATGCTTCCTCTCTTTGATCTCATGAGACCCAACAGGGAGACTGGGTCAGCTATGGGGAAAGACCGTGTGAATCCATCAGAGGAGTCTCAGCCACAGTCCCAGGCCACAGCCAGACAGAGTCAGCCAGCCCCGAGCATCAGCCTCTCTGACCTCAGATGCGCGTGTGAACTCAGCCAGGACATCAGGCTGTGGTCGGTCCCTGAGCACAGCTCTGCCCAAAATACCAACCACAGGCTCCCGAGCGAATCAGTAGCATCAGAAGCTACGCTGTGGGTTGATTGCTCAGACAGCAGTGGAGAGCTGACAGCCTGCTCTGTGTCAGGAAACGTGCTAGGCGAAGGCAACACCTGGGGAGCGGGACTCAGTCCCGGCCTGCAGACGCTTAGAGAGAACTCAGGGAGACAGACGAGGAACGGGACCATTTCCTAGGAAATGTCAGCAGTGCTGGGATCACAGGAGGCTGGTATATAGGGGTCCCTGGGAATTTAAGAAGGGCATTCATCCCAGAACCAGGCTGCTGGCAAAGATTTCTCAGAGGGAATATGTAACACAACACCTCAGGGGAGTTCGTAAGACAGACTGTTCCAGGCAACGACAGAGAAGGAAGAACATTCCAGGGAGGAAAAGCCGCGTGTGCAAAAGCTGGAGAAAGCGCAACAGGGTCCTCTGGGCGAGGAGCGTTCACAGGGTGAGGATACAGCGTGGGCTGGGACCACAGCTCAGGGGACACGCTCCTGAAGCAGAACTCGCTGGCGTCTGGGCTTTAAGCTCAGGGTGGTGGGAGCCAAAGGCTTCCCTCCCTTCACCTTAGTACCCCTTCCTTCACCTGGGTCTTCATCTGAGCAAAGACATCAACGCCACTTTCTGAATCAAGGAAAACTCTCCTTTGCTGCTTAGGCTGGCTGAAGGGACGTGGAGATGTGCCAAAGTCCGAACAGTCATCAGGATGGGAGAAAAGGAGCAGGCAAGAGGATGCCATTCCCGGAGGCCTGCCTTCTTCTCAAGGCTCCCGTGAACACCCAGGCCCAGAAGGCATTTAGGACGACCTTTTAAAGCCTGATGGTTAATGCCTCCCACTTACTGTTAAGAGTCCGGCCTTGATGAGCCTGTCTCCTCAGCTGTAACACGGAGATGACGCCGCCACTGGCCGCCCAGCACGGGGCCAGAAGAAGGCGTCACGGACGGTCTCCAGGGGGGACGGGCTGGGGGGACGGGGCGTCCGCACGAGACAGAGCGTGTCTGAACCCAGCCTCTGTCACCAGGAGTTCCTGCCACTGCAGGAGCTTAGAGACCACTCCTAAACTGGCTCAGACTGAGCTTCCAATCCGAAACACGAGGCAATTCCAGCTGCCTCGCGGGTCGTGATGAGGATGAAGAGAGAGCACAGTGCCTGGCACATGTATAAACGTACGGCAGGGCTTCCCAAGGCCGGCCGACAGGACTCACGCTAGCACCCTACATTACTGCAAAACCCTGCTCTCGGCCTAAGGCTACAGACAAGAAGAGCTGGGTCACCAGAAACACAGACGTCTGACATCTTCAGCAAGGCGTGTCCACTCCACCAGCACCACCACGTTACAACCCATCACTAAAAAAAGGCTGAGGCACAACATTCATATTTTGTTACTATGTGATAAGGAAGTAGCCTTGTCATTTAGAACGTGTTATATGAAAATAAAAGGAACTGAGCACTCCCTGACTCCCTAATTTGGCACTCTGAAAAACTTCCTCTATACACCAAGCTCCAAAATGCATCCTCTTTGAGACCAAAAAAAAAAAGAAACATGCATATGTACAAGTGGGCGAAAAAGTTACAACACAAGAAGGTGCTTTTGGTGAAAAGCAATCCCACCAAATAAGCAGCATGTCATGTCCTTAGAATGTATCACACTGGAAGGCTAGTGAAAATTCAGGCCAATAAGGCAATGCAGTTTCATGTTTTATCATATATGGGCCAAGTTCTAGGATACTGCACTTCACAAGGGACAGCTTCAGAGTGAAATCTTGCCAGAGGCATGATTTTGAATTATATATATACATACAAACTCGTCTGTTTTGACATCCAACATATTCCGAATTATTTCTAGAAAACTGCTGTTGCTGATTGACAGAATGATTCAGGCTCAGAAAGAGAAAACAGCACATACAGTTTTAAGTAATTATCTTTCTATCCCACCCACGTCATCACAATATTTTTGCTTTTTGACCACTGCCATAATTGAAAACACACATTAAGTTAGAAGTTGATACTAAAGGCAGGAATTAAGAAAAAGTCAAAAATGCTTTAGAACCTTCAAGATGTCAGTTAACAAGTACTATTCCTTTGGATGTTGCTTTAATTTGAAATTCAGTGAAATTGAGATCCTCTAATCAACAGATCCATGCTCGTTTTGGTGAGAGTACTACTTAAAGTCTAGGAAAACTACTGTATTGATTCCCACGAGGGTGATTTTAGCATGTTGCTGTTCTGGCGAGAGAAGCATCTCAACAACTTTTTGTGAACCAAGACCAAAATCAATGGATGAGAACTATAGATGGAAGCTGAGTAAGGCAATGCAACTATGTGGGAAAAAAAATTCTATGTCTCAAACTTTTTCTGCACCGACAGAAGTTGTCTTTTTAACTTTTCTTCTTGTTTAAAGACGTACTCCCTGGTTCTCCCACATTCAGCAGGGAGCCTGCAGGAAACGCGAATGAAGACGTGTGCGGGCGGAGCGGAGCGAAGACCCGCGGTCCGCCGCCACCCCGCGCCGGCCGCCGCGCGCCCGGGGCCCTGCCCGCCCGCCCGGGCCACGCTCAGCACTCCAGCGCCTCCATGACCTCCATGACGATGGTCCGCGGCCCGGTCAGAATCAGGTTGCTCACCGTGCGGTAGTCGACGTGCAGCACGTTCAGCCCATTCACGGAGACGACGAACTGACAGACCTGCAGGACAGACAGAGCACCGCCTGAGTCCCGTGGTGGCCCCGGAGAGCGCGCTGCGCTTCCCTTCCCGCAGACTCACACAGCGTGAAGCAGGCCAGGCGGGAGAGGCAGGCGGGATCCGGGCCGCCCGCGCGTGTGACCTAAAAAGGGTGCAGAAGAGCGCATCTCCAAAGCAGAGGCAGAGTCACAGACGCAGAAAACAGACACGGTTCCCAGGGGCAAGCGGTGGGGGATGCACTGGAGACTGGACGAACAGACACGCTCGACTGCGCACGGGGCCTCCCAAGCGGCGCTAGTGGCAAAGAACCTGCCCGCCAACGCGGGAGCCACGGAGACTGGGCTTCCATCCCTGCGTCGGCAAGACCCCTGCAGGAGGAAATGGCAGCCCACTCCAGTGTCCTTGCCTGGAGAAGCCCATGGGCGGAGGAGCCTGGCGGGCTATAGTTCATTGGGTCGCAGAGTCAGACACAACTGAAGCTATTTGGCACAGTAATACGTGTAGAACAGGTGAGTGTGTAGCACAGAGAACTCGACTCAATTCTCTGTGATGAGTTAATATGGGAAAGAATCTGAAAAAGAGCTGCTATGGGAACATGCACAACGGATCCACGTTGTTGTACGGCAGAGACTACACAACACTGTAAACCAACTATACTCCAATAAAAATTAAAAAAAAAACTAAGGTATTTATTTTTGCCACACTGCACAGCATGTGGGATCTTAGTTCCCCAACCAGGGATCGAAACCAGAGCCCTTTGCAATGACAGCAAGGAGTCTTAACCCCTGGACCATCAGGAACACCTGAGACTGAGTAATTCAATGAATTTGTTACCAGGGGTGTTAACCTCAGGCTCTAACCCCCCCTTCCTGAGGGAATGCAAGCTGCAGCTGCTGAGAGGCGTTACCCTATCTAATGGGAAGGTCTAATCATGCCTATGGAGAAGGCAATGGCACCCCACTCCAGTGCTCTTGCCTGGAAAACCCCAGGGACGGAGGAGCCTGGTGGGCTGCAGTCCATGGGGTCGCACAGAGTCGGACACGACTGAAGCGACTTAGCAGCAGCAGCAATCATGCCTAATTTTCGCCAGAAGCGAAAAACAAGGATTCACCAGAACTGGTTAAGCTGAAGCTGAAAGTGAAAGTCGGACAGTTATTTCCACCTCTTTGCGACCCCACGGTCTGTAGCCCGCCAGGCTCCTCTGCCCATGGGAGTCTCCAGGCAAGAACACTGGAGTGGGTTGCCATGCCCCTCTCCAGGGGGTCTTCCCAACCCGGGGACTGAACTCATATCTCCTGCAGGTGAGCTCTTTACCACTAGTGCCACCTGGGAAGCCCATTCCGGTGCACACCTGCTCTCAATTATTTATTAATAAATTATGTTAGTGTTGATGACACGAAGAATGTGGAAATACTAAAACACCTGAAAATCACAATTTCCTTTTATTGTTTTCTGAGTGGGTAGGATCAATAGAAACTCAAACACTGTATTAACAAAGTTAATAAATATGAAATATAAATAATATACGTTGTAGGTCATATCTTAAATGTAAATATGAAATACAACATATAAAATACTGTATTAGTAAGTCTACAGACACCTATACCTATTACTTAGATGAATCAGCTTGGAACATCTTGAACGGGCAGCTGTGTGCCTGTGGAATGGACACAGGGTCTGGGATCCAGCGACATGGGTTCAAGTCCTAGTCTCCTTTTCTGGGTGATCCTAATAAAGGCATTTGTCCTCCGCTAGGCCTCAGTGACATCACTTATAAGACAGAGTTGGGCAAAAACACTTTCATCTTCACAGGTTCAAATGAATGAATTTAAAATTGCTTTGCAAATATCAAGCCCTATACCCACAGTGGCTCCAATTAACTTCTTTTCCTTTAAAAATATCTTTTTTTCAAGGTCATATGTAGAACCAAATGGAATGTACAGAGTGGCAAGAACAGTGTTTGTTTACTCAATAGACACGGGCTCTTGTCATAAACCTCTGTATCCTCCACTCAATTTACAAACTACAGTGTTGTTCTATACGAGAATAATTGCTATTTCTCCATTCCCGTTTCCACAAACCTGTCTCGTGAATTCAGGGCACTTTTTTTTCCCCAAAGCACATCTTGTACAGAATCAGCAGTTCTCAACCTTGGTTGAAGATCATGGTCACGTGAGCAGGTCAGAGTACATCCCGAAGCAAACTACGACTAATTTGCAGGACAATTTAGTGCTACTGTAATGTAGATACTTGCTTCTTGGAAGCAAAGCTATGACAAATCTAGACAGCATATTAAAAAGCAGAGACATCACTTTGCTGACAAAGGTCCATCTGGTCAAAGCTATGGTTTTTCCAGTGGTCATGTATGGATGTGAGAGTTGGACTGTGAAGAAAGCTGAGCGCCGAAGAATTGATGCTTTGGAACTGTGGTGTTGGAGAAGACTCTTGAGAGTCCCTTGGACTGCAAGGAGATCTAACCAGTGCATCCTAAAGGAAATCATTAATGGGTGTTCATTGGAAGGACTGATGTTGAAGCTGAGTTTCTGATACTTTGGTCACCTGATTCGAAGAGCCGACTCATTGGAAAAGACCCTGATGCTGGGAGGGATTGAGGGTAGGAGGAGAAGGGGACGACAGAGGATGAGATGGTTGGATGGCGTCACCCACTCAATGGATGAGTTTGAGCAAGCTCCGGGAGACAGTGAAGGACGGGGGAGACTTTCGGGCTGCAGTTCATGGGGTCACAGAGTCGGACACGACTCCACGACTGAGCAACAACAATGTAGACACTTGCTAGAGCTGTGTGTTTTCTGCTCCAGCATCCTCAGGAGTCAAGAATGAGAATTCCATCCCCTCCCAATCCAGAGTGCTGACTTTAGAGCAAGGTGCTTCTTTCCTGCAAACGGATGAAGACTGTGTCGTCCAAGCAGAGGGCAGAAGCTGCTGGGTGAGCCTACACTGGAGAACACTTCTCAGGCTCGCGAGGGTGAGACGCGTCTCCCTGTCGCTCAGGGAGTCCCCGCAGCATTTAGTCTCGGCCAGAACTGAGTTCTCTGTCCCCCACGGAGTGTTTGTTTCCGTTGACCAACATTTAAAAATTAGGGAATTTTCACACAAAAATCTAGGTTTCTAGGGCACTTTGCTAGTGGTCCAGTGGCTAAGACTCCAGGCTCCCAATGCAGGGGGCCCAAGTTCGACCCCTGGTCAGGGAACTAGATGCCACATTCCTCAACTAAAGACTCTGCATGCAGTAACAAAGACTGAAGATCCTGCGTGCCATCGCTGGGACTCGGTGCAGCCAAATAACTAAACAAATAAAAACAATTAAAAAAAAATTCCAGGTGCTGGCCTCTGTGGAAGAGTCTGAAGATCTAACCATACCAGACGTGGATGGCCGCTGGACCATGGCTCCATAGCTGCCCCTTTTAATGGTCCATGTTCTCTCGTTTGCTGTGGTCCTCAGCACTCCCTGTTTTTCTTACACCTAGCTGAGAGGTGTTTCAGATCTGTGATCCCTGGTCTGGGGCCACCAGAGAGAAAGAGATAAGGAGAGGAGGGCTTGGTGCTTCAAAACTAATATGAAAGTGTTGGTCACTCAGTCCTGTCTGACTTGCTGTAACTGCATGGACTGTAGCCCACCAGGCTCCCTGTCCATGGGATCTTCCAGGCAAGAATACTGGGCGGGTAGATGTGCCCACCTCCAGGGGATCGTCCCCACCCAGGAATCAAAGCAGGTCTCCTGCATTGCAGGCGGACAGGAGGACTCTCACCACCTGGGCCACCGAGGAAGCCCTAATTAAACAGTCTGGGTTCCCTCAAATGTCTTGTGATGTTGATCTTTAGCCTCTTCCAACTTCATAGGAAGGTTTTTACTCAGCTAAGGTTGACTTGCTTCCTGTGTCACTTAAAATCCTCAACGATACAGAAATGTAGACATTTATTTCATTTTTTCCCCTTGAATGAGTGGGAAAAAAAAAAAGGCCTTTCAAACATGTATCCTGCTTATCTTTAAAGTAGTATTTTTAGAGTCAGGCTGCTGGAAAGATGTCATCTCTCCCTAAGTGGTCCCAACAAGTGCTGTGGTTTTAGCAGTTCCAAGGTCCTGTTACTAAAAATGTGCAAAATGATCTGGAAAGGCAGGTACGGCTATGCGATGTATTTGGTTTTAATGAACTTCAAACCAGCATCTCTGGTACACTATGTTCTGAAAATCAACACACATTACAAGTAACAACAGAAAGCACACAGCCCAGGAGAAATGATTTCTCTGCTAACATGAAAAAGCACGGACACACAGACATGTGATGGCCCTGAACAGACCAACCGTGGGTCTGTTCCGGCTCCCACCTGGGGTCAGAGGGCTTTAGATGCCTCCCCAGGTGGTTTTGAACATTCAAGTGAGGCTGTGGTGTTTTTCTTCTGTTTACAATTATCTTTATCAGATCGGTTTTCAAAGATTTGATTGCAATGCCCTCATTTCCACAGTTCACGGAAAAGAGCTCATTCCTAAGCGACCCGTAGTTGCTCTGAACTCATCTCCTACAAGGAGGACACCTTCACTTTTTTTTTTTTTACCTTTTGTTTTTACTTTAAAATTCAAGTGTAATTGACTTATATTAGTTTCAGGTGTGCCACCATGGTGATTCGATAAATTTATACATTACAAAACGGTCCTCTCTAGTTACCATCTGTCGCCTACAGAGTCATTGCAGTATTTTTCACTATGTTCCCTATACTGTACACTTAGTCCTAATTTCCAGCTAGAAGTGTGTGCCTCTTAATCCTCTTCCCCTGGTTCACATGTCCCTGTTTCTGTCTCAACAGTGCTTTGGTTTTGTTTCTCTTTAAAAAACAAAAAACAAAAAACACCAGTTTACTAATTAAAAAACAAAGCAGGATACCAGGTGTGTGAGAGAAGTTTGCAGAAATGGAAAAACTACTCATAATTCAAGTGAATATAACTACTTACTATTTTTGCATATTACCTTCAAGTTCTTGTCTT